TGATTCTTCAGAAATCATTCTAATATGCTGATTTGCTGCTCTAGAAACACTTAAGCATGAAAGTTGGACTATCTGTAAAAAATATACTGGTCAAACCGATTGGTATAGGTTACTTCTGGGTTTTCCTTGCAGTCCTGGGAACAGGCTTCATTTTATTGTTCAGGTAAAAGTCAAGCTCCTCATTGAGTAGGAGACTTGTTGAGTTTGTTGTCATGTTTTGGCAACAAGACTATCTTCTGAGATTATACTTTGATACATTTGACCACCTTGTACGCACCTAATTCACTCGACTCGGCCTCAACTGGTTAATTGGTAGGTTGAAGGTCATTCTTTCTTTTTTTTTTTACTCCACAGGAATAGGGATAACAAAATCCAGGGATGAACCAGTGCAAGACATCAGAGAGAGGTGGTTTCTGCTCCATTAGATTTGAAAGAGTTGTACCCTAAAACATGTTTTAGAAGAGATTCTTATGGGCCTTGAAGTCATGAAAACCCAGCAGTGAGTGAGGAAAAGGAATGCAGTGAAATGTGTTATTCTTACTATTTATTGCTGAATGGTGCCTGGAGGGAAAAAAATAGCGTTTCAGTGTGTTTATGTTAAAACGTGTGAGAACAGTGAGCAAAATGGATTTGTCACACTGCAGGACCATTTCAATGAATTGAACGCTAAAAGGTGATTCAAAATGTCACAGCACCTAAAATGCACACTTTACCTATTTAGTTACAACCTAGAATGTTTATGTTTAAAAAACTAGTGTAAGATAACACATGTGATCCGTGTGTGTGTGTGTGTGTGTGTGTGGTAAACCCTACATGAAATGGGTGTTATCCCCACAAAGATGGCAATATCCAAAATCATTGTCCATGCGGGGACATTTTTTGGTCCCCATGGAAAACAGCTTATATACTAAGTAATGTTTAAAATGTAAAAATGCATAAAGTTTTCTGTGATGAGTATAAGGTTAGGGTTAGGGGATAAAATGTATAGTTTGTACAGTATAGAAATCATTATGTCTATGGAATGTCCCCATAAAACATGAAAACACAACATACCTCACTATGCATCACCTCTTTCTCCTGTCATTAACACTTTATGCTACTCCCGAATTTATCATTTACATACCCATTTGTGCTGTATGAACGTGTTTGTATATGTGCGTGTGAGTGTTTGATTGAGCCATTCAGACACACACATTATTTGTGGTCTGCTGCCACTTAGTTCTGTCTGCTCCCAGCATTCATTTGCCCTCAGGCCATCTTTCACTGGGGTCAGTTAATCCACCGAGCCCTAGACTGGAATTTGCATTTTGCTTCATTGGATGAATCGTTGCACTGCTTAATATTCTCCACTGGGTGGCCCTGTTCAAACTCTGTTCTTTAGACATACTAAAACATGTGTCAACACCTGCATGGATATCATTAGCAAAAATAGATTTTCTCAACTTTTCCAGTTACTGGCTAATATTGTTGGCTCATGTATGATACACTACCATTTAAAAGTCTGGGACGTGTAAGATTATAATAATAATAATTAATACTTTTATTCAGCAAGGATGCATTAAATTGATCAAAACTGTTGCGAAGTGCAAAGTCAGGCTAACATAATATGTGATAATAAATTATATTTAAATAATTTAATTATACACTTCTGCTTTGTGGTCAGTAAAATTAAAGAAATGTATACTTTATTCAGCAAGGATAGATTAAGTTGATCACAAATGGCAGCAAAGACTTTTATTTTGTTAAAAAAATCTATTTCAAATAAATACTGCTGTTTTTAAACTTTCTATTCATCAGAGAATCCTGTTAACAAAAATTGTCAGCTTCCACAAAAATATAAAGCAGCACATGTCTTTTATGTGAAAATTATAAAAAATGTTTCTTGAGCAGCAGCAAATCATCATATTCAAGCATATTCATATAAGCAGCTAATCAGCTTATTAGAATGATTTCTGAAGGATCATGTGACACTGAAGACTTGAGGAATGATGCTGAAAATTCAGATGCTTTGCATCACAGGAATCAATTACATTTTAGAATACCATTAAAATGTAAAACAGTTATTTTAAATTGTAATAATATTTCACAATCTCACTGTATTTTTGATCAAATAAATGGAGCCTTGGTGAGCATAAGAGACTTCTACTAATGTAGATATATATTTTGTATATAGTTTTGACCTAAATTGTGTTTTTGTGCATATATAACAGTCAGAATTATTCTATCATCTGAGTTTTTTTTCCCTCAGTTGTATAAAGTTTGGGGACAAATGTCTCACCAAAGGATAACAAAATATGACAACACCTCTCTTAATAAAAAAAAAAAAAAAAAAAATCAGTTTTCTGTTAGGGGTAGATATACTTATAATTAATTAGCTTTATATAAAACAGTAAAATGAACTGTCTCTCATGCTGATGCCAATACATTCTTTTTTGTCATTGTGAAGATGTTCGTGAGTATTTTACATTGAATACTTAAAGGGACGGTTCATCCAAAAATGTCAATTTTATCATCATTTACTCACCTTCAAGTTGTTCCAAACCTGTATGAATTTATTTCTTCTGTAAGAAGTTATTTTGAAGAATGTCGGTAACGAAACAGTTGATGGATTTTATTTACACTTTCCGTCATACATACCTAAAGTCTTGATGTTGATAATAAAAGTTCATAGATACTGTAAATGATGTGTCAACTGCCCTCAAGTATGAAGTGCATTGAACATTCAGTGCTCACAGATCATCTCCTCCTTTAATTCACAGGGCTCTTTTTCAATAGCAGAACGACTGAGTCAAAAAGGTGTGCTCGTTCCAATTGGTCTCTGTCTGCTCTTTCTGCAGGTCTTGAGATGCTCTGCCAAAAGATGAATCTTTTAATAACCCCCTGTTCAATTTCCATTGGGTGTGCTTTTGATTCTGATTTGACTTTGATTTATATTGTGTTTTTTATCATGATTCAGGGATGCGTTGATCTAAAATATTGAGGTCTCTTTAGTGTATATATTCAGCTGGGTGCTTAATAGTGTGACGCCTCAGTGTTGTTGATTTTAATATGCATGCATTGTTTAGGAATGTTAAAGGAAACTCTGTTCCTCTACTGACACCTGTCAGCCAGATCAATACATTGTGTGTGAAAGGTTAACCGTATATAACATTGCTGACCTAAGCGAAACTCACTCGGCTTGTCTGTTTTGACCCTGACAAGCTCTAAAACTGTTTGCATGTGTTTGACTAGCAGGACTGCTGTTCATTTTGTGCACTCAAACATGTAGCAGACATTTTCTTTGTGGCTTTTGCTAGTGTAGTTCGCTATGCAAAGTTGCTTAGAACATTTTCATAAATCTCTGCTCTCATATTGAAGAGTACACAATCTCACAATAATAAACAGATAGTTGTACTTCTCAGAGCAGTGATCTCATTCTAATATGCTGATTTGGTGCTCAAGAAACATTTCTTCTTATTATTATCAATGTTGAAAACGGTTTCATATTTTGTGGAAACTGTGATACATTATTTTCAAGATTTTTTTAATGGACAGTTCAAAAGAGCATCATTTATTTGAAATAGAAATCTTTTGTAACATTATAAATGTCTTTTTACTCTCACTTTTGATCAGTTGAATTCATCCTTGTTAAATAAAAGTATTTCACATTTAAAAGCTTAAAATTTAAGGACGATTATTTAATTTCTAATGTTCCTGTTTGTTAATCTTGTTTTAAGAGTTGGTGGTTATTTCTAGAGAAAGCAAATAGCGCCATCTAGCGTTTGTATGAAAAATACCCATGTGTCTTTTATAGCACAAAAAGAAAGCAACTACAATGTACAATCAATTAATAGCTGTACTTTATCATTTATTCTGATTCATAAACAGTGGATATCACTCGTAAAGCTGTAGACATGTTTTGTATTTATTTTCCATTTTGTAATGAGTCTTCTGCACTCTTGATATTTTTCCAACATTAAAGAACTATGAATATTACATTTGATGAATGTTTAAAATCATGTTCACTATTATATCAGTTGCATAATAAAAGCTATTCTGTATATTGCTGTGTCCACACCACTAGGTGGAAGAATGTCACGATTATTTAACACTATTGCCTCTTTTCTAACACTGTCAGAAAATGAAATGTACCTATTGCAGATTTACGGTATTCACACATATTCTATTTTCAGTGAAATGGTATTTTCCTGTGAAGGCTGTAGTCACTTGGTATTGTGGTTTACTACATCTGTTTGAGAACATTTGTGGAAGCTTCATTATTTGTATCAGGATTGATGACTTCACTGATCACCTGATGATTATGAGTTGTGAAACTTCATTTAAATAGATTATGAAGATGCTCTTGAACAAAGAATTGATTTATGACACTGAAGTGTATTTTATAGCTAATGATCATTTCATCTGCATTCATTAACGGTTAAAAGTTTGGAATATTTAAGATATTGTCTTATGTTTTTGAAAGAAGTATCCTATGTTCACCAAGCCTGCATTTATTTGATCAAATTATTAATAGTATTCTTATTATTGATGTTGAAAACAGTTGTGCTGCTTAAGTGTTTTTCAGGATTCTCTGATGAAAAGAAAGTTAAAGAGAACAGCATTTATTTGAAATAGAAATATTTTATTACATTATAACTTTTGATCTATTTAATTCATCCTTGCTGAAGTACTAATTTCTTACCGACCACAAACTTTTGAATGGTAGTGTATCAACATTGATAATAATATGACATGTTTCTTAAGCAGCAAATCAGCATATTAGAATGATTTCTGAAGGATCATGTGACACTGAAGACTGGAGTAATGATGCTGAAATTTCACAATATTACTACATTTTACAATATTACTGGTTTTACAGTATTTTTGTATCAAATAAATGTGGCCTTGGTGAGCATAAGAGAATTCTTTAGTAAAAATATCTTAATTATTACCTTTCACCGGTAGTATATGTCTCCAAAATATGTGGTTATGATATGAATAATTGTGTTTTGTGTCTTCAGGCGTGTCATGGCTGTGGGACTGGATCGAAGTGTGACTGCAGTGGGGTGAAAGGAGAGAAGGTTAGTGTTTATCCACAAACAAACCTCCACATATATATAAGCTGCGTTCCATTCGACATGGTCTCTACGCAGTGTTCGTTGCTCCCTAGTCACTGAGGATGGGATATCTGTTGAAGTTCACTTCACTTGATAAAATGTGTTCATTCGGAACACCGTGCAACATCATCACTTTCAGACAAAAAAATGGAGTCACTTGCACATATTAGAGAAGTTTGTGGTATGATGACATAATATATTTCTTTAAATAAATATAATAACATTTACCATACTTTAATGTACAGTACATCCATGTGTAGGCTGCCTATGTAAATGTTTATACAAATGTTTAGTTATTATTAATTAATATAAATTGTCAAAGTTGAAAACACTAAACTGAGTGATAAATGTCTATTGTGATGTCTAGTGTGAAAGTAACTAACTTTTCATTAGATTTTACTCTAATCATGATGGTTACACTGTAACGGTCTCATCTCACAACTGCACCTGGACTAAATAAACTCAATAAAACTGCTGGAGCCTCTAATAATTTGAAATGCATTTATTTTAGTCAAACATTTTGCAGTACTAGAGTGATGCGCAATACTGGTGGATACATTTCCCTCTTCACTTCCTGTGAAGTGATATGATTTCCCCCTATTCCATATGCCTTTCACAGTGCCTTCTAACTGAACATGTACAATCCCTTTGGATTAGAATCTCACTGGTGGAATACCCTGTGAAGAATACCCACTTCATAGGGCATTTATGATCGAATGGAACGCACCTTTTAGACTGATGTCCATAGGCTCATATAAATGTGTTAATGCGTGTATGTTGTTCTAGCCTTTTCAGTAGGCCTAGGTATATTCTTGAGCTGCACGATTAATCTTTAAAAGATCTCGATCTCAATTCAAACACCCACACAATCTTATTCCTAAATGACAACGATTCGCCTGTCTATTAAACCTTTGACAAAATCATACCAGAACATTCAAATCTGCAGTTGTCATGTATAGGTATGACACAGCTTCACAAACAGTCTTTTCAAACACACAGTACCATTATTTCTGTTACAAATATTCAGATATATGATTACAGAAGAACTGGGATAAAAGTGTATAGTTCGGATATAAACACTGATGTCTACGGTAGCTATCAAAATCACCTTTTAAGTCTTTCCCCGCCAAACACAGAATTTTCAGAGTATCCGTGTTTTAGCTGGTATGAGGTAGGGGGCGCTATTATGCATCTTCTGAAAGAGGACTGAATCTCCATGCGAAGACGATACATTTGTCATTGAATCATTCATTTAATAGATTTGTTCAAAAACGCTGACTCTTCCATTAATGAAACAAGCAAAATATTTGAGTGAGTCATTGAATCATTCATTCAAACTGATTTTTTTTAAATAACTCTTTCAAATTAATTAAATATTTTTAAAAAGACGGCAGCAATTAACATTTTGTTAGAACCTCTAGTAAATTGCATGTTATTTTTTTAATTGTCTGTTCAGAATCGTGAGAGAATTGTTATCTCTATTTAAAACCAAAAATTGTGATTCTCAATTTATCCAGAATCGTGCAGCTCTACTATATTCATTTGTCAAAATGAAGTGAACATGAACTCAACTTAAGCCTGACTCTTTTCATTTTAATCTGTGCCTCCAGAAGTGCTGCACTGGGTAATGTATCACTTTATGCTCAGATGTTAGTGGTTTTGAAGACTTTACACGAAATAACAGAAAACTTTTTATGCGTTTTGGCCGTTCACAACACCGTTATTGTCTCTGTGTGAACCACAAAAACGCAAATTTGTGAAATGGTCAATTTCATGCATATTACGTGTTCATGTATAATACAGCGTTTTTAGTCGTTTCCGCGGATCCATGTGAACGCGGATCGTTTTGACTATATTGTCGTCTGTACGCCAAAAACGCGAAGGAAAAACTTTTCCGTTTTTAGTTCATCGTTGTTGTATAAACATGCCCTTAGACACTAGTCTGATTGGATCTTTTTAATGTTTACAATATCTTTTTTTTTTCTTTTTCTTTTTCTATGTGCATTATGTTTCATTTTCTTCTAATTGATGTGAACTTCTCTGTACATCCTTTATGACTTTGGTCTCTTTTATGTTGTTCTTTAAATATTTTCCTAACTCTAATGACAGGGTGATCGAGGGTTTCCAGGTTTATCAGGCCAGCCAGGTGTTCCAGGTTTCCCTGGACCAGAGGGGCCGATTGGACCTCGTGGAGAGAAGGTCAGTGGTCAGGCCATTATGATATTCATATAATCATATGCATAATAATTGCTGTTCAACCAGAATCTGTTACTGATCAGCTATACTATTGCTTCTATTAAGACTGGACTTTCTTACTTTCACAGGGCGATGATGGACCTTCAGGGCCGATGGGGACCAAAGGAATAAGAGTGAGAGTTTCTCAGTAACAGCCTCTGGCTCTTAATGGATCCACAGTTATCAGCAAATACTGATTGTGTTTTTGCAGGGACCTTCTGGATTGCCGGGCTTCCCAGGAACACCAGGAATACCAGTGAGTGAATCAATGAGGGCTTTCTTAAATATATCACCTTATTTTGGTCATAGAAGTAATTAATAAAATCCAAATTGAAAATAGTTGACAGTGAAGTTTATTAACTATTTTAATGTGCACCGTGGTGTAGATCAAGTCATCAAATTATGTCTCCGTTATTGACATAGTTTGCAAAAAAACTCATTGCTATGGAATAAACTAATTTGTGAAAAAGTGTACAACCCACATTTTTCAAGCAAGTCAAAACTTACTAAATGCTTTAAAGTTAATGTGGCATGTATTTACATTTGGCAAAACAGTTTGTCCAACCGCAAAGACCAATTTGCCATTATTAAACCAGAATACATCAGAGAGTGAGTATGTCTGTTTTTGTTAAACATCTGATTTGTAAACTTATGTTGTATGTTTATATTTTACTTTATATACAGTATACTTTTCTGCACTGAATAGATAGCAGACAGATGTATATGTATTCATATTTTTTTTACTTTTAGTTTGCACATTGTTTGGTGGGAAACATTTGGCAGGATGGAGAATAACATGTTAGTAAAAAAAAAATCTGTCCGATTAATTGATTATGAAAGCATTTGTTAGTTGCAGCCCTAGACAGACATACAGTAGACATACTGTACTCACCAATCAGTTTGTGTGGTTTTTTTAATGTTTTTTTAAAAACAGGTCTTTTATGCTCACCAAGGCTTCATTTATTTGATTAAAGATACAGTAAAACCAGTAATATTGTGAAATATCATTACAATTTAAAAATAATTTTGATCATGTGATCCTTCAGAAATCAATCTGATATGCTGATTTGGTGCTCTAGAAACTTTATCAATGATGAAAACAAAGATTTTTTTTTTTTTTTTTTTGTGGAAACCATAACGACTTTTTTCAGGATTCTTTGATGGATGGAAAGTTCAAAAGAACAGCATTTATTTGATATAGAAATCTGGTAGCAATTTATTTTACAGTCCTGTTAACCATGAACGTACTATGTACTTATTATAGTAATTGCAATAACTGGGTAATACCTAGGTACTAATCCTGAACCTACCCCTAAACCTAATCTTAACCAATGTACCTTAAATTACCCAGTACTTTCTTAGGTAATTACACTGTAAGTACACGCAAGTGCACATACTGTAAAATAAAGTGCAACCAGAAATCTTTTGTAGCAATGTAAATATCTTTACTTTGAATAATTTAATGCATTCTTGTTGAATAAAAGTATTAATAAAAATAAAAAATCGTACTGTCCTCAAACTTTTGAACCATGTGTGGTAAACGGGCTGCATTTTTTTCGAACACTGTCTCTGAAATGATGTAACTTGACATACAGTAAGTGTGTCAATCTGCTGTCGTCTGTCTACTTCTTGCCTCGCATTCTAAATGTTAATAGTTATAAGATTATATGTGCTGTTTTTGACTGACAGGGTCTCCCAGGACAGGATGGCGGACCTGGACCCAGAGGAATTCCAGGCTGTAACGGAACTAAAGTATGAAACACTACAAACAACAAGCCTTCGTCAGTTTATGGACAGGTTGAATGGATTAAAACTTAAAAAAGAGCAAACAAATATAAATAAACCTTTTTTTTTTTTTTACAGGGTGAAAGAGGATTCCCAGGAAGTCCAGGCCTTCCAGGTTTAGAGGGTCGAATAGTAAGTATTGCTTTGTCACATTTCAAATTTGCAAGCATACTATCATGCATTGACTCACTCACAGAAGTATTGAACTCATTATTCTCTAAATAATGAATACTTTCTTGTCTCCACAGGGTCCAACAGGTCCTATAGGACAAAAGGCAATTATTGCATTCCACAACGCACATGCACTTTTTCTTCACTGTAGTGGCACACATATTAGGATATGTGTGAAATTATGTTTATAAATGCCTTCTCTTTTCTCCTGTAGGGGGAGCCTGGGGAAGTCATAGATGAAAATAGAATTTCAGAAAATGGGGATCCTGGCTTTGATGGCACAGCAGGCTCAAGCGTGAGCATTTACAGATTAATCAGCAACAGGACAAGAATTTTTCCAGATTACAGTAAAACTCATGTTCCCCTGAGTTTGGGGCAACACTTTGAAATTAAAGCATAATTTGACCCAAATATGGGAATTCACTTGTAGTGGATTTTACTGTGTACCCTTTCAAATGAGAATTGTTCATATCAATATAATGATTGTCATGCGTTAACTCGTGATTAATCGCAAATTAATCGCACATTTTTTATCTGTTCTAAATGTACCTTAAATTAATACTTTTCGAGTTTGTAATATTTTAATCAACATGGGCATGGAAAAATATGGATGCTTTATGCAAATGTAAGTTTATTATTAGTGAAACCATACTCAATATATAGCATGAAGACATATTGGGGGGGGGGGGGGTTGACGATGATCAGCTGATAGACGTGATCCACTGATACGGGCTTATCAAGAGGATTTGACATTTCCAATTAATGTATTAAATTATTATTATTATATATAATTAATAAATATTATATACAATAATTTTATAGCACATCCCCCCATAACCGACGAGCTTCGAGAAAAAAAAAAAAGATTAGTTAGATTAGCTTACTCCACATTTCAAAAACAACATGCTTAAGACGGAATACTTCTCTTCTAATTTTTCACTACTTATGGGCCACAAGAGAAATATTAAGAAAATAAATGAAGACAGTTATATACCGTTATCAGCACTTTATAGTAGATTCAGCTCTCATGTGCACCGTTAATTCAGTGTCAGATGTTTTTACTTTCACTTTCTGTAGTGCATAATTGACTGGGGTTTGACCCATCAACAAATGATGGACCAAAATGATCATCAAGTGATATTTTAAACTCGACATGCTGCGGTGATAACTTAATTCACATCGACAATAAATGCAGACAACTTTTGTCTTGTCGAAAGAACCATCAAACATCGTTTTGTATTTGAATTTTCTGTTCAGAAGACCTTTTTCTTTCTCTGTATCTGTTTGCTGCTGCATCCTATACCGTCTATGGCTGCATCTCCATTTCTCCAACTACGGGCCACGGGTCCAACAGAAAATGTGCGCTGCATTAATCACGCGTTAATAATGTTAGTGCCGTTAAAATGAATTTGCGTTAATGCGTTATTAACGTGTTAATTTTGACAGCCCTAAAATAAATAACACATTTTATTTCTCATTATTGTGACTTGATATCTCACAGTTGAGACTTGTCACAATCATGACTGTACAGTATTTTTTGGAATATAAAGTCACAAATAGATATATTTCATACTATACCAATAAATGATAGAGATATATTTGGATTTCTTGAATTGCCAATAAATAAATGTGAAATGACTCTAGTTCATACAGTAACCCTCTGGTTACCATATATAGGGGGATCCCGGACCCCCAGGTCCTCAAGGTCCTGCTGGTCCTGCTGGTCCCAGAGGGTATGAGGTAAGACACTGATTGCAGTTTCTATTTTTGTGCAGCTCTAAGCTTGTGTGATTTAAACTCCACCACCACACACATTTAAGATGAAGGGCTGTGAATCCATGTTACCCTTTATACTGCTGGCTCATACAGATTTAGTATTTTGCAATGCTATAATTCATTTCATTTGTAAAATTCCACTCTTTTTAAGGGGCGCCCAGGCCCTCCTGGTCCACCAGGTCCGAAGGTAAGTCTGAAGGATGCATTTAAACAGTGTTAGGTTTTACTTATCTCAGGTTTGCCAAAGTGCTAATGTGTCTTTTTTTTTCCTTGAAGGGAAACATGGGATTGAACTTTCAAGGACCCAAAGGAGTGCAGGTACGCACATTGTGAAACAATATATACATCAGGTTTATTAACAGTTGGGTTTTTAATGTGCATATGTTTATGTGTGAAGGGTGAACGTGGATTACAAGGACCTCCAGGACCACCAGGACAGGTTGGCGAAGTATCAGGCGTACCTGATACAGTCATACAACAAGGAGAAAAGGTACCATTTATTTATTTATTTACTTCTTTTTTTTTTTTACTAACAGCCCAAATAAGAATATCTGATATAAATGTATTTTTTTATATATATTTTATATATATTTATTTTTTATAGTACAATGTTCTTGAGTTACATTGCTTGATAGCAGGACCCATCAAACGTTTGTATATACTGTATGTGTTTTGATTAATGCTTTGTTGTTTTTCTTTTAATAGGGTGATGTCGGCCCACCTGGAGATCCTGGTTTCCCAGGCCCTCCTGGCCCCCCTGTATGTATCTTTCGTTTTGTTTCTTTTCATTCTATTCCACACTAGAGTCGTCGTACCGGTACTATCGTTACCAGTCGGTACAAAAAAAAGTTGGCGGTACCTGCATTTCTGCAGTACTGGTAGTACCAAGTATCTGGTATATTCGGTACCCGCTGATAGACGCTGCTTTAAAAAGCTCTCGTTCGTGTTTGTTTGAGTGCTTTCTGAGCATCAAATGTTTCTACTTACAGCGTGTTTTTACAAGCGTTGTGGCCAATCACAATCATATCTGTTGAGCGTGTGAATGCAATGGCCAATTAGAGGTGCTAGTCAGTAAGTTAGTTGAAAATGTTCAATGCGTGTCGCGCGCTCGTGAATCCTTTCTTTAAAACCAACATAGTGTAAACACGATGTAAATAAGAGATTCATTGTACAATTAAGAGTTTTTTTTATTATAACGGGAGTTTTCGCAAGAGTGCAGAATTCAGTGAGCTTGTGCTTTAGAGATTGACAGCCTTAGTGATTATAAAGGAAGAGATCTTCTCTTGCTTTCTGTTATCACCCATTCACAATCTGAATACAAGTTTAGTTTTTCATGCTGCGAAGTACATTGCAAAGTTTTTGGATTGACAACTTTATTTAAATGCGCGATTGAACTGGAAACTGCGATGATGATGTGTAGTAAGGAATGTAGAATATGGTCCAGCAGAATAAGGCATTAATATGTGCTTTATAAGTACTAATAAACAGCAAATATCCAAATAGCATGCATGCTAATAAGCAACTAGATCATAGTGTGAATTGGACCCTAAACTAAAGTGTTACCTGCTTTTTCCCCCCCTTTTTTTCAATTTTGTAATTAACATTCCTGTCTTTGTCTGACAGGGTCAGCAAGGGGGGCAGAGAGGTGACAAAGGAGAACCTGGTGAACCTGGAAAGAGGGTGAGTTAATGCCTGCTGAAACCCCAACTACTCGTTTATGTTTACAGATTAAAAAAGACAGCGTTTTATGACATATATGCGGTGATATATTTATTTTCATAAGGGAAAACCCGGCAAAGACGGTGAACAAGGCCTCTCTGGATTTCTGGTAAGCCGTCTACAATAGATGTTTAGTACATTTCACCAAACTGATGATATTCTTTATTGCTGTTGTCACATCTCTTTTTCAGGGTGACAAAGGAGATACAGGTCCTCCTGGTCCACCTGGACGAGATGGTGTGAGAGTAAGTACTGAACGTTTCATCAAAACACAACAATAGGCCATCAAATCCTTAGTAAACAATGTCTAATGATGATCACAGGCACAGAGGTGCAGTATTAATGTAGTTGAGCTGAGCGTTCATGAAAAACCAGCTCACTCACAGATCATTTTGTCATTTCAAATTAATTTGAATTAGAATGTTGTTGTTACTCTGTAATTAGGCCATACGTTTCCACTTTTGTCAGGTAGAATTGCATACCTGTTGTGAGTATGATTAAACATGGACAATGTCGCACTGACAGCATGATCAGCCTAACACAGTGATGTAGAGGAACTGCCTACACGCACATGCGACCCCAGGATACACTTTATCTGCTTGTGTCACTTCGTTACTCTTTATTTGATCATGTTATTTCATAACATATTTATTCAACTTTATGAAGGACGAAGTCTATGTCTTCATCCAAAAAGTTTTGAGGATGCACTACCTCCCTTGCCTCCTCTGAGAAAATGCCCTGGCTTGAAATCATACATATATTCTTTTGTTAACACATTTAGGGTGAGAAAGGTAATCAAGGGCCTCCTGGACCTCCATCATTCAGGGTATGTTGAATATTTCTCTGTTCTATTCTGTCATCTTTGCATAGGCCTGATGTTTGTCATTATGTATTATATATTAACATTAGTTTAATTAAAAAAAGAAACCTTTTCACCCCACAGGATGGGCAGTTCACAGGCATAGGCGGAATAGGACCAAAAGGAGACAGTGGTGAGCCAGGACCAGTTGGACCTAAAGGAGATAGAGGACTTCCAGGTATTTAAAAACTCAAGGTCAAGCTTAAAGGAACACTCCGACTTTTTGAAACTTTAGCCTATTCACCTTATCCCCCAGAGTTAGATAAGTCCATACATACCTTTTTCATCTCCGTGCGTGCTGTAACTCTATCTGACGCACCCACCGCTAGCCTAGCTTAGCACAAAGACTGGATGTAAATGGTTGCAGCTAGCATACTAATCCAAATAAGTGACAAAATAGCGCAAACATTTTCCTATTTACATGTTGTGATTTGTATAGTCACAGAGTGTACGAAAAACGAAGTCACATGAGACACAGACATATTTTAACCGTATAAATACTGGGAACTATATTCTCTGAAGGCGAAGCACTGCTACTTGGGCGGAGTGATAACCGCAGCACCTGAGACGCGCTCTCTTGCTCCTCACCACGGCGCGTCTCGGGTGCTGCGGTTATCACTCCGCCCAAGTAGCAGTGCTTCGCCTTCAGAGAATATAGTCGCCTTCAGAGAATATAGTTCCCAGTATTTATACGGTTAAAATATGTCTGTGTCTCATGTGACGTAGTTTTTTGTACACTCTGTGACTATACAAATCACAACATGTAAATAGAAACATGTTTGCGTTATTTTGTCACTTATTTGGATTAGTATGCTAGCTGCAACCATTTACATCCAGTCTTTGTGCTAAGCTAGGCTAGCGGTGGGTGCGTCAAACAGACTTATAGCACGCACGGAGATGAAAAAGGTATGTGTGGACTTATCTAACTCTGGGGGATAAGGTGAATAGGCTAAAGTCCCAAAAAGTCGGAGTGTTCCTTTAAAGTGATAGTTCACACAAAAATGAAAGTTCTGTCATCATTTACTCACCCTCAAGTTGTTCCGAACCTGTGTGAATTTCTTACTTCTGCTGAACACAAAATAAGTTATTTTGAAGAATGTCAGTAACCAAACAGTTGATGAGCGCCATTGACTTCCATAGTATAGAAAGAAAAAATACTATGGAAGTCAGTCATGGCACTTTGGCACAGGCATTTCAGAATGATCAAACCAAAATTGGTCTGCTGGTTAGTCCAGTTGTTTAATCACATCCTCTGTTGAAGTCTGTTGCGCATCGAGGGATTTTTTTAGTGCATGTTTTCTAAACGGATAAAACATTTATTCACCTCAATTGAGCACATACGTTTTTTTTTATGTGCATTTTTGGAATTTATGTGCACTTTGGCATTTCCATCCAGCGTTTTTTTATGCAATATCCCAAAATGTGCATAAAAATTGGTGGATGGAAACATAGCTATTGTCATGAAACAGAACAGAAGATTTCTATAATAACTATAATGTATTTACTGTTTATCCATACAAATATGTTTTACAGCGTTATTTGTATCAGAGATCAATGCATTTTTGTCTTTTGGTAGGTATTCAGGGCCCACCTGGTCCACAAGGTCTTGCAGGTAAGCAGCATGCTTTTTTGGAGGGTAATTTTTTAATAATATATTTTTTATGCAATTGTATTTTACACATTTATTTCAGTGTATGATTGATTCATGTTAATTTAATTCATGCAGTTAATTAAATAAAGAAATCTTTAATCACAGGAATTGGAGGTCCAGGTCCTCCCGGCTCGCCAGGTTTACCTGGAGAGAGAGGAGAAAAGGGTGATGAGGGGCAGCCTGGAATCTCGCTCCCTGGACCACCTGGGAGACAAGGTCCACAAGGTCTCCAAGGATTCCAAGGGCCTCCTGGTCCCCCAGGAATATTCAACGGCGATCTAGAATGTAATCGTGGTCTTACTGGTCCACCAGGCCTGCAGGGGGAGCGGGGATTTCCTGGAGAAACAGGACCGCAAGGTTTGCCACGCATTTCATATTAGAAAACAAAATCTGTATGAACAACACACACTTTTTTTTTTGAAGAACATTGTGGCTAATACTCTCTAATGCCAATTGTCACAGGTCAAAAAGGAGAGACGTGTGTGAATTGTTTCAGTAATGGAAACCCTGTCCCAGGACCCCCAGGGTTTCCAGGTCCTCCTGGAAATCAAGGTAAGATTTAAGTCATTTTAACATATGTACCTTTCACGTGTCATGCAGATGTTTTCTTTAATGATGTTTTACCTAATAAAGGCGCAATATACAGTATATATATACCCTGACTACGTCAGACTTCGTACTTCCGCTCATTTTCAGTTCGCTTCTGTACTCAGTCTGAGATAGCGACCTATCTCTCAGTATTCCTCCGGCCTGAAAACAGCCGGCCAATCAACGAACAGAGGGCGGGCTGAGAGCCGTGACGTAGACGCTAAGCGCCAAGTTTAAGATTGTATTTTAGGTTAGGGAAATCGAAAACGACCTCTGATATGGAGATACGGGATGCAATTCGCTCTGTTGTGGAGAATATTCCCGGCATTTGAAAACTGAAGCCCGAACAAGAAGAGTGTTTGTTAAACATTTTGAATGCGAGGTGATGTTTAAGTTGGAGAGAGAGGGGATTGCGTTATGTGATTGGCTTACGGGTAACCAATGATTTTATACTTCAGACATAGTTTGGGTGAAGAACTATGTCTGAAGCGCCCCCGCGAGAAAGAAAACACTTTTCAATTATGCCATTCCAGACTCTGTCTATGAAGCAAAGAGAAGTAGCAGAGTTAGGTATTACCAGGCTAGTATATACAGTATATACAATTTATAGAAATCTCCGGTCATCTCTAATTACAATAAAACATGGTAGGAAGGTACTGATCAGGTCCAAAAACAAAAGGTAGTTCACAGTATTCTTTGAAGTACCAAGTAAATAACATGGTACATTTCAGTACAAAAGTACAGTATATACCAATGTACAGTACTTTTTGTCCATGATTTTCAGGACTAAAGAACAACACTTTTATCTCACAAAAAAATTATTTATTTTTTTACATAAAGTACAGATGCTTTTCAAGCTGCATGTCACACTTGTTTTTGTGTCAGGTGCACCTGGTTTGCCTGGATCTAAAGGAGAAAGAGGATACCCAGGAGGACCAGGGCTCATAGGCCCTGCGGTGAGTGCTTCCTTACAGTACCTCACTTTTTTTTTAAGTGGCAAATGCTTCAGAGTTATTCAGAAAATATAATTTCTTTACATTTCACCAGGTCTCCATGACATTTAAGTAAATAACATGTAAGTGATATATTTACCCTTTAGGGACTACAAGGACCTCAGGGTCCCCCTGGATACCCTGGAGAAAAGGGCGACCCAGGCGATGCCATCTCTGGTCTAGGTGTGAAAGGAGACAAGGGAGACACAGGCTTTCCTGGCCCTCAAGGTCTGCCGGGACTCGAAGGAAGACCTGGTCGTGATGGAGTGCCTGGTCCCCCTGGCCTCAGAGGACCACCTGTGAGTGTTTGTTCAGTTTTCTTTAGAAGTACAACTTTGGGTCTTTTATACAGTTAAATAAACGTAAATAAATTATTTATCATAATAATACACTGACTACTGAATTGCCATGTATCCACTATCCACAATCTTAGGCCCTGTTTACCTGGCATTAAGATGTATTTTGGTCGAACCCGTTTACACCATGTGTTTAAATCCGTCTCTTTTGTCCACTGTTAGTGTTCCTCCATAAAATTTTCAGGAGACATTCATGGAGTCAACAAAGTGTCATTTTATTAACTGCAGCACTTAAGTACTGACCAAACATTGTGCAGAAGAAAGAGAGAGAAAAAAACAAAACAAAAAACACTGACTAATAAACGGGACATCAGCACATTACTGAATTCTGGGTCTTCAGAAAATGAAGCCCTTTTAACAAACCAGACCAAACCATTTTTATAATTACAGGAAAGTCTCTGCAAATTCTAATTCCACTACATCAAATTTAAAGGGGGAAACTATATATATATATACATAAACTAAAATAAACATAAAATCACATTTACCATAAAGCAATAATGAAAATAAACTTAAACATACACACAAAAAAATATATACTGCGCGCTAAAGAGACAACGTAGCACCTCCAGTTCCAATGTTCGGGTAAATAATATTTGAAGAAACAAAATAATTGCATCAAAATTTATAAATAAACAGACAACAAAAAACATTAATCCCTTAGAGCAAGCGAAATATAAAGAAAATACATTTCTCATACAAAAATTAAAATAAAGAGAAAACCAGAACCATTCAAATGAAATGTTTAAATTCAGTGTGGCCTTAGCCATCACATCCACTTTCAACCACTTCTGTCCTGATTTCTTTGAGGGGAGGGTTTATGGGTGGGTAAATTAATGGGCTTTTTCAGATCTTTTGATCTGATGGACGAAATAATGGACACAATTTACAGTGCTCGAAGCGGCTCCCGGGGTTAATAAAGGCCTTCCGAAGTGAAGCGATGCGTTTCCTAACCCTAACCCCTAACCCTTCACAAAATATCCATGTTTAAAACTTTATCGACTAAAATAACTAGCTTCCAGCAGACGGTCGTACGCAAGTCGACCTACGCCAAAAGAGTAACCCTTGAACTTGACGAACGCGGTTGCCCAGCCCTGTTTGAACCGCGAGAGGCGTCAAAGCTTACGCTACTCCTACGTCATACATCGTCAAGGGTTACTCTTTTGGCGTAGGTCGACTTGCGTGCGGCCGTCTGCTTGAAGCTAGTTATTTTAGTCGATGAAGTTTTAAATATGGATATTTTTCACGAATGCATCGCTTCACTTCAAAAGGCCTTTATTAACCCCCCAGAGCCGTTTCGAGCACTTTTATCACAGATGGATAGGCTCTGATGGACTTCCAAAAACATATACCCATTGACTCCCATTATAAAGCTTGGAAGAGCCAGGACATTTTTTAATATAACTCCGATTGAATTCTGAAAGAAGAATGTCATATACACCTAGGTTGGCTTCAGGGTTAGTAAATCATGGGCTAATTTTAATTTTTGAGTGAACTATCCCTTTAATACCTGGTGTAAACAGGGCTTTAGTCAACCAGAACATTTCCACCCTCTCTCTGATCCTTACGGCCTTTTCACACCCCAAGCTTGAGCTTCTCATCAGCGTAACTTCATCGTCACTGCAGCTGCAGACGCGCGAGAGTATTCACACTGGAAGCGTTTGTACAGCGTCACAGCAGCAGCTCCAAGGCGAGCATTTCTTTATAAAGACAACTATAAATTTGTTTTTAGAAGTTGGTCATTTATAAACTTGATGGTCTTGAAAGTTTGAAAGAAACATTCTCATGTAAATGGTAAACAACAAAGACAACCAAGAAAACAACTCCGATCTTGTCGTTTTAGTCATACTTCGATATGTTTACAAGACAGCAAACTCTCCAGATAAAAAAACACACTCGGGTTTGATTTGGGTAGTGCTAGACTATATACCTGTCTGTGTATTACATAAACTAAAAGACAGTTTACATATCATATTTTCTGGCTAGTGCCCTTTAGTTGTTTAATAGACCATTCTTTCACCCAAACTATAAATATTTTCTTTTCTGACATACTCCAGTTCTTGTTGAAACACACTAGACATGATTATTCTGTGCATTTTGGGCACTTTTTGTGCGAAATCATTTTTAATTTGTCCTTCAAAAGTGTGCTTTCAACTTTAATTGAGCGTGAGCAGCGCAGCAAAAATAGACTCGCCGCCGAAACTACCGCTTCACTGCTGCTCACGCGACGCTCCTGCTCCCGGTGTGAATGCACTCATTGGTTAACATGCACACCGAAAAACATATGCGCTGCTCATGCACCAGCAGCACCACTCACGGTTTCAGTGTGAAACACCCGTTAGAATTAAAAAGGGTTAAATATATAAATATTTGTATTTATCTATATGCCTTGAAGACTTCTATGTAAACATACTTTTCACTTCTAAAACGAGAAACTGCACTTTCCATGACTCAAGTAACAGGTTCACAAAACAATCTGCCATTTTTTCTTAAAGGGTTCTGCTGTGGTGAAAGGTGCACAAGGTCCACCAGGTGAACCCGGCTTCCCAGGATCTCCAGGAGACAGGGGTCTAAGTGGTCCCCCAGGATTCGGTCCACAGGGACCTCCTGGAGAGAAGGGTATTCAGGGCGTTTCAGGAAGATCAGGGGCTCCTGGAGCTCCAGGTAAAAAACAATAGTGTCTTGTTTTTATGTTCAATTTATTTTAAGGCTGTCAATCAATTGAATATGTGAATATAAATTACATGTATTATATTTTTGTACTATATATTATATTTTTGCACTAATCAAGGTAAATATCTAGTTCAGTCATGAAACTCTAGATGGAGCAGGCTGATTGGTCCTTACATGCAGTCTGAAAGCAATCATTTCATTATTACATGGCAAGCTAATTGGCCTCTGCTGATTCTGCAGCCAATGAAATTGCTGGCTCAACATTTGCTCTGGTTCAGTGTTCACTGTAAGCTGGTCCTGAGTTTATCTGAAATCCTCCTCATCCCCCAGCTCCATCTGTCTAGATCCGCTACGGGATTTATGAATGTCTTCATGCTTACATTCTCAAAGCAGCGTGTCTGTGTATCTATTGGTAGTAGCAAGTCCGTACTTGCTCTGCAGCAGCAGGCTTCATAAGCAGATCTAGTATGCCAATACCAAATACATTAACATTGTCATTTTCTTTAACATGCTAAAACTATTCAGAGAGTTGTCATGATTGAGTATGTGTGATTGTTCAAGGTGTAGCTGACTACATTTTCGACTTAAAAGAAGTTTAACTACTTTGAATGATGAGTAACTTGGACATTACATCATCTCAATGTAGGTCAGAAAGGTGAACCTGGGTTGGCTGTGCCAGAAAAAGGTGAGCGTGGACCTGCAGGGCGTGATGGAGATCCTGGATTGCCAGGAAGTCCAGGTAAAGACAAAATGGCTTACTACACTTTGTCGGCACACATTTAGTGGTCTTGAATGCATATGGAGCAGATTGGGAATTCAAAGTTTAACAGTGACCGGTTCCATATCTGTACAGGTAATACAGGCCAATCTGGACAGCCTGGGTTCCCAGGCCTACCTGGAGCCAAAGGAGATCCTGGTCTTCCTGGTATTGGTTTGCCAGGACCCCCTGGTACTAAAGGTACAATGTATTCCCGTTATTAAAACACTAATAGACTCTGTCACAAGTAGTTTGTCAACTGCTAAGTGTTTTCCAATTCACAGGAAGTGGGCAGTATTCATTAAAAAATCAGATTTGGCCAAATACTTGCAAATTAATTGGCCTGGATGAAATATCTGACTTTCACTAGGTGCATGTATTGTTCCACATATTCTTTCCCTTTTTTCACCTTTTTTAAATAAATTTTTTTCTTAGGTAGTGAGGGACTATTGTGTCCATATGTCTAACAGTGTTGTTGATATTCTCCAGGTTTTCCTGGTATTGCTGGTTCCCCTGGTGGACCTGGCATTCCTGGGCGACCAGGTTTGGATGGATTGTCTGGTCAGCCTGGATTACCAGGACCCAAAGTATGAGACATTTAACCCACACAATACAATATAATATTATAAACTTCACCAGTAGACAGGAATATGTCACATTTATGTGATAAATATTTTAATAATCAGTTTTTAAATCATTCTGTTGCACTATTGTATACGCAACTGTTCAAATTTTGGGGTTAGTAAGATTTGTTTTGTTTTTTTAAAGAATACTTTTATTCAGCAAGGATACATTAATTTGATCAAAAGTGACAGCATCAACATTTATATTGTCACAAAATATTTCAGTTTCAAATAAATGCTGTTATTTTATTATTTCTGTTAATCAGAGTATGTATCCTGGCCAGCTGTTGTTAATAATAAGAAATGTTTCTTGAGCACCAAATCAGCATATTAAACTGAATTCTGAAGGATCATGTGACACTGAAGACTGGAGTGATGGCTGGTGATTTCAACTTTGCCATCAAATAAATAAATAACATTTTAAAATATATTAAAAAAAGGGAAAATTATTTTTAAATTTAATAAAATTGCACAATTATTAAAAACAATTTCTAATATATATATATATATATATATATATATATTAAATAATAATACAATTTTACATTCCTGTTTTACTGTATTTTCGATCAAATAAATGCAGCCTTGATAAGAGATATAAGATACTTATTTCCAAAACTTTAAAAAAGTTGACCGACCCCAGATTTTTTAACAATATTGAATATACTGTACTGTATCAATATACAGAATTTTGAACTGTATATTTTGGATGGCTATATTTAAAAAAAAATATCAGATGAAAAATGAAAGAGGGGTACCAGTGCAAATTGAAATATGCCGGAAGAAATGAAGCTGCTGTGTGCATCTGTTTTCGTTTTTTTTTTGTGTTCGAACATCCTCTCTGCATTGAATTATGGGCAATATAGTGTTCACTGGTTGTATGCTATAAATCATTAAGTGCATTAGGGGTATAAATAAGTGAACTGTATTAGGAATGTGCTCCAATGAATGTCTATGTCCCCAAAGGGAGATCCTGGTTTTGGTCTACCTGGCCCTTCAGGTCCTACAGGATTCCAAGGCAGTAAAGGTACACCCGGCCCTAAGGGTGATTCTGGTTTCCCTGGAAACCCTGGTGCACCAGGTCGTCCGGGTCTCGACGGTGCCCCTGGACCTAAAGGTTGAGAATTACTTCATGTTCAAACAGAGAAAAAAATAGTTATGCTGCACTCGACAAAAGAGATGCCTTTCGATGAGACTAACATGAAGTTGTATTACAAATCTAAAACAAATATCGCATTTTCTTTTTGCACTTAGGTGATGGTGGTTTTCCTGGTGGTCCTGGTCCTCGTGGCCCCCCAGGGCCCCCTGCCTTTGGCCTTCAGGGCCCCCCTGGTCCTCCTGGACCTCCTGGATCTATGGGGTCTCCTGGTATGCCTACAGTTGTTTCATTAAAACTCTCTTCAGAGAAGAATGGATCTTGAATTAGAGATATGCTTGCCAGATTTATTTCTAGTCTAATGCAAGCGCAGGAGTCTCCACTACAAGAGACTCTTGTGCGAGCTCTAGACTATTTTTATGCAAAATAATATGTCCTACAGGGAGATGCTTTGTCTAAGAAAACACAATTTTAATGATTATAAACCACACCCATTTATAATTTTAAATAAAATAATATTATTTAGTCTAGAAATTGTAACAATTCTATGACCCTCATAACTAAAATGTGTGTCAGGTGAAGCGTATCTCTTAAGCATTATCAAACACAAATATTAGTACTAGTAATATGACTAAGTATTGTTTCACTATCATTGTTGTCTTCTCTACTTCAGGAGTCCTTGGTGCGAATGGAGAGAAAGGAGACCGTGGCTCCCCAGGTCTGAGTATTCCAGGGTTGCAAGGTGACAGAGGAAACCCTGGATTTCCTGGACCTCCTGGCACAATTGGTCCACCTGGGGGTCCAGGACTACCTGGTCAAGATGGCCTACCGGGACTGCCTGGTAATATGATGATAGCAATATCTACTGATATTTGCAATTTTAACTGCATTTGTTGAACGTATACAATATATATCTTATTTATTTATCCTGGTCTTTCTCTACTAATCCTATATCATTATTACAGGGCCTAAAGGTGACATGGGTGGCATGGGTGCTCCAGGACCTCCAGGTGGCCCTGGCAACCCTGGCAGACCAGGCTTTCCGGGACCAAAAGGTCTAATACCATTTTGTGCTTCAGCTCACATTTCTCAAACAGTTTCATAAAGTCTCTCATAGAGTGAAATATTATTGTGCTTTGCTCCCCTGCAGGAGATGATGGTGTCCCAGGACGACAAGGAATCAAAGGTTCCTATGGATTAAAGGGAGACAGAGGTGACCCAGGCATTCCAGGCCCACCTGGCATAGTGTCAACTCAACAGCTATTAAAAGGACAAAAAGGAGAACCCGGAGGTCCAGGTGAGACAAATCTGTTAGTTGCTACCTGGATCACACCATCATGGCCTTTTTGGTGATGTCAAGGATCCCAAATATGATGAGGATCCCATTGTGAGGGGCTCCCTTCCTAAAATATAAAGAAAGAAATGCAAGAAATGAAAAGCCATTGTGGCACTATCTAAAATGGGTTTCTGCAGAACTTCATATAAAATAGATATGTTTTTAATATATATATATCTTTATTTAATATATTTTAATATCAATTCATATGAAATTGATATCAGAGCTTGGATGATAAGTAGCCTACCAAAAGCTTTAAAAGTTGATGAAGAAGGAGACCATTTTGGCTAGTGTCTATTAGGCTTAATTTGACCAGGTACATTCTGCGTATTATATGCATTTTCTGTTTCTTGTCATCAGTACATATTTGAGGGTCCCTCCTCAACATGTGTTTTTCTATACTCAAAGTTTAACAAAAGGAAACATTTAATCTCCTCATGTATTTTGGTGACTCTGCGATTCTCTGTTTGTCATATAGGTTTTAACGGACCACCAGGAGCAAAGGGTGTTTCCGGTATCCCGGGAGAATCTGGTCTCCCTGGGCAAGATGGAAGGCCAGGACTACCAGGATCCCCAGGTAAAGCCAACAAGTACACATATTTGAATTTGAGCCATCAAAAGCATGTTCAATCAAGCAGTCTTCTGTCGTGTACTGCAAAGTATATAGACTAGTGAATGGGGTTTTGTTGACCAATTAAATTTATTTTGTACTCATGTTTAGGCCCCAAAGGTGATTCTGGTTTCCCAGGAACTCCAGGGTCTTCTGGAGCCCCAGGACTGAAGGGTAGCATGGGAGAGATGGGATTTCCAGGTCAGATCCTCACTCCCATATGGCTCTAACCCAAAACCTTGGTTATGTTTCTGTAGCTTTGAAACCTTGAAGCTAGACTGAGCTATTCTTCTTTGTTATAGGAATTTCTGGAGTGAAAGGAACCCCTGGCCAACCTGGCCGACCAGGCCAGCCTGGATCCCCAGGATCACCAGGGTTCCCGGGACCCAAAGGTGATCCTGGCTCAGCAGGATTTGGATTACCAGGAAATCCTGGGCCAAAGGTAAAAACATATTGTCTACTACTTCAGCATTGAGAATATTAGCTTTTAATATTTAATGCTATTAAATGCTTTTAAATTCCCAGGGTGAACCAGGCACTTCAGGATTCCCTGGAAACCCTGGGCTGAAAGGCCAAGCTGGCCTTCCAGGACCTCCAGGCTTTACTGGTAGCCCTGGTACAAAGGGTGATCCGGGACTCCCAGGATTCCAAGGTGCACCTGGCATTCCTGGCCCTAAAGGTTTGGATGGCGTTACAGGCCCTCCTGGTCTTAGTGGAGCACCCGGAAGGCCAGGAGAACCTGGACGATCTGGATTACCCGGCAATCCTGGCGATAAAGGTCTTGCTGGTCGTGATGGTATTCCAGGACCTGCGGGAATAAAGGGTGAACCAGGTTAGTGTGAATCCAGAGGAAATCAAAGTACGCAAGATGTGCCTAGTGTAGCATATGTACAGTATCTGGAATCATTTTTTTTTAACGTTTTACCCAGGTGCTCCCGGCCTTGGTGGCCCAGGCCCGCCCGGTTTTCCCGGTTCACCAGGTGAAATGCTGAGAGTTTTGTTCATGTATCTTCATTTTTACACCAGAAGAATTCGAACAAGTTTCTCGTTATAATTTTCATAGCGGATTTAACATAATTTACTGTTTTTCTTATGTCGCAGGGCTTAAAGGAGACCCTGGTTTTCCGGGTTCTCCCGGAAGTCCTGGATTTCCTGGTCCAAAAGGTGAGTCGGGATTCCCTGGGTTGCCTGGTCAGAGTGGCACTGTAGGACCACCTGGGCCTCCAGGACTGCCTGTACAGGGGCCTAAAGGTATCCAAGGCACACCTGGTCCCCCCGGAAGATCGGGTAAGTTAAACATCTCATCCCTTTTGGCCAGCTCTGCCCTCAAAATTTGATTGTCAAAAATCAAAATGATCACATCAAACTGACATTTGCATTTGTTCATTTATTATTTTGAAGAGTAGCCTAGAGTAGAATATCTCATTTAAAAATAACTAACTCTTAAAACAAATTTGTAAAAAATAAATAAAAAGAAAGATCAACCAAGTGTTTTAATCAGTACTTAAATCGGCCAAAAAACACATGATTTGTAATCCCATGACATAAAAACACAAATAATGGCTTAATGATGGCTGCATATTCCTAATAATTAATACTGTGCTTTACCACAGTGTTTGTTGTTTTCTGATGCACGCCTACAGTCCCATCAATTTAGATTAGGCTATCTGACTATCATGGAAACTTATACAAGAGAAGATAATGATATTTGTCCGGTAATTGACAACTTAGACATTCAGGAACTGAATGCATTAACACACATTTGTATCTACATGTCATAAACGTGTTTTATAGATTTATCCCAAACAGGAAAGTACCCCTGTTTGGGAACCACTTCATCAGCAAAAGTAATATTTTAATTGTGAACCAGAGGGCATACTGGCTTTGATTTTATTTGATTGACTGATCTGCATGGAATATTACACAGGCAATCATGATTATGCCACATCCATATCACTGTCACAAATACACTCTCAGATCAAGGAGCACAAGACACACTGTTTGCATTCTCTTCTCTGCAAGTGATAATCTATTCTCCTCACTCCCTTCCTTAATTGTGTGCCAGTTTGTCGTGTGTTAGAGAGAAGTGAAGGAGTTGCATGCATGCAGAGATGTTTTAGCTGTTGCCCTATGAGTATTACACACAGTGTCTGCTTCCCCTATCCGCGGCTAGCTGTTCACCCATCCATTCACCCTTGTGTCCCGTCCCTTCAGCAGTGGAAGCTGTCTATGTCTGTGACCAAATTTAGTGGTCATCTGGCACTTTTGCATGGGAGATGTGCTGATTTGTAAGAAATGAAAAGCCATTGCAGGACTATCTAAAATGATCTCCACCTTGGTGTAAACGAGCAAAAACTTTCATGAATTCTGCTGATATTTTTTTAAACAATTGATATCAGAGCTGTTTGATAAGAATCTTACCAAAAGCTTTTAAAGTTGATGAAGAAGGAGATCATTTTGGCTAGTGTCTATTAGGCTTATTTTACCCAGGTGCATTCTGGGTATTATATGCATTTCCTGTTTCTTGCGGCATGGTTCTGCTCCTCCTGATGACATGGGATCTTTGCAGGTCCAGAAGGTCAGCTTCTTCATGCTATAGAATTGATTTTTTCTTTTTTTTATGCTTCAATACATAACTCGGTGTTAGAAAGAATTTAAATTGTATCTACCTATTAATAATTTGTAATTCATCTGTATTATGTGACTAGACATTTAGTCAATTATACTATGCTATGCTATAAAAGATTTATCCAATTACTGCTTTGTCAGCATGCACAATAAACCTACTTCTTAAAAGTAGTATTACCACAGTTTGCATTTGCTACCTGTATTTGAATGAGTAGATTATTAGATTTTGCACAATGATCTCATTTACATGCACAAGAATATTTGCTCATAATACGATTATGAATGTCTCATGTAAATGTTTTATCCCATTTGCAGCAAACTTGATAAATCCAAAATTCTAAGAGCAGGTATTTCCTGAAAGAAATAGAAGGGAAAGAATGTGCATGTCTTGATTATTCAGATTGCGATCAACAATCTTATCAGCTTTATTCCATGTTGAGCATGTAACCATAATGATGATGTGCATATGCACTAATATTCAGAAGTTTGGGGTCTGTAATATTTTTCAATGTTTTGAAAAGAAGTCTCTTATGCTCACCAAGGCTGCATTTATTTGATCAAAAGTACAGTAAAACAGTAATAGTGTTACATATTATTACAATTTAAAATAACTGGTAAATGCAATTTATTCCTGTGATGGCAAATCTGAATTTTCATCAGCCATTACTACCAGTCTTCAGTGTCACATGATCCTTCAGAAATCATTTGTCACTTTTGATCAGTTGAATGCAACCTTGCTGAATGGAAGTGTTAATTTGCTTCTTTCATCTTACTAGCCCTATACTTTTCAATGGTAATTTAAATGCTATGTAAAATATGCTAAGTTGTTTCTCCAGTAATGCCTTCTGTAAAGCAACTGGAGCCAAAAACAACCAATATATCAGAATTTTAAACATTTTGAAACGTTTTTTATTCCTTACCACATCGTATACTTGTGTTGCTGTGCTCCTTTTTTAAAACCTTTATCTTGTTCTTTGCTTCTCCTCTTATTGGACTTTTGGGAACCCGTTGACCTTTGACCCCACTATAGGTCCTGCAGGTTAGACAACTTGGTTTGATACTCACGTTATACTGTGCACCTCCGTTAGTCATGAGATGATTTACCTTAGGTGGGACTGGGATGGTTCATGTTCATGTTTGATTTTTTGATGTTTAACTTTCATATCCCTATCGAATTCTAGGAATATAGTTATGAGTCTTTAGTTGATCGCTCTTTTATACCTTCTCCTTCTCATAGATCATCCCAGAACCATTCAGCACACTATATACTACAACAATATACATGATAAACATGCACACATTGCTGATTTGAATAATATTGACAATGGTTTCGTGATATGAGATGCATGCTGTTTCAGTCCATGCTGAGGAACTGATTTCTGTTCTGTGAATGTGAAGGTCCTCCTGGCCCTGAGGGTCCCCGTGGACCTCCAGGTAGTGGAGGAGTGAAGGGTGAGAAGGGCTTGCCTGGAATCCCTGGGACATCTGGTGCACCAGGACTGAAAGGAGATTATGGTTCCCCTGGCTTTCCGGTAAGCATTATAAATGTGTTCTAATGAGAATGTTTAATTATTGTTAGCAAAGGGATTCATATATTTTGCATTTGTAGATGGAAACATTGTAGGCTGCCTTTGGTTAATGTGGGTTCTGAGATTTTATGTGATTTTGCTAAAAAGAAGACAAGAGGACATTTTGTTTTTTTGCACTGCCCTGTGGAATACATGATTCTGATCTGTTTTTGGATAATGACTGTTAAACCATTTTTCTTTCTGCTTTTTTCTTCTTCTCACATAATAAAATGATTTCAAATAATATAAATAGTTGTTCATTTATTTATCAAGTTATATTTATTATATTCAGTTAGATAATGATGTTTGTTATTTGCTTTGGACAAGGGTACTCCAGGAAATCCAGGGCCTAGTGGCCTGAAAGGAGATTCTGGACCTCAAGGTGTTTCTGGATTCCCAGGTCAGTTATCCTTCTATAACCATTGAAGGAATTGTTTACCCGCAAATTAAAATGTATGTCATTATTTACTCTAAAAATGTCGTGTGAAGCACAGTGACATATTTCTTGCATGTCTTATAATTGAAAGTGTGTGCGCCAGTTCTAATATGTTGTACGGAGAATGACAGTTGATAGCAACTGCAGAGGGGATGATTCTGCATTGAATCCCACTTTAAATTTATATCTGTTCATTACACAACATTATTCAATACGCACTACTATTCAAAAGTTTGAGGTCAGCAAGATTTTTTTTAATAGAAATTAATTGCTGGATGCATTAAAGGGTTTGTTCACCCCAAAATGAAATTTATGTCATTAATTACTCACCCTCATGTAGTTCAAAACCCCTTACACCTTCTTTCATCTTTAAAACAAATGAAGATATTTTTTTATGAAATCCGGGAGGTTTCTGAACCAGCCATTGGCAGCAACGTCATTGCAACTTTCAAGGTCCAGAAAGGTAGTAAAGACATCGGTAAAATAGTCAATGTGACTACAGTGGTTCAACTTTATTGTTATGAAGCGACAAGAATACTTTTTGTGCGCAAAAAACAAACAAAGTCTTATTTATAAAAGCAGGCCCGGATTGGCTAATCGGGAGCACCGAGAGAATTCCCGGTGGGCCGGTCTGTTTTATTGGCCAGGAGGGCCGGTTTTGTCATGGCACTGGGTTGAATGCTTACCCTATAGGCTCCAGTCACAGCGCAGCCCCACTATTTTTTTATTATTATTTTCTCGCAGCCCCACAAAAAAAAAGTCAGTTGTTAGAGCTGTGCGGACAAAAAATAAGATACGAAACATGGATAATAGTAGCGCCTACGAGTCAGGGCCGTACCCACCATATCGCAACGATAACCAACCTCATCATCAGCACTCAAACACCGCTCGTCAGCAATGGCAAAATGTTTCAGATGACCGATCAAAGCAGGATTTATGCTCACAGAAGCGCGAGCCACTTGCGAATCCCGGCAAAACTAAACAGCTGTTCTACGATAGAAGTTTTAAACAACCGACATAAATAATCAGTTTGCAAAGACTATCAATCAAAGCTCAGCTTCGGGAAGGGGAGATTTACAGGTAAAGATAAAGAGACTGAGAGAAGAACGAGAGAAGGAGATGGAGATGAGAGAGGAGAGCAGGAAGAGCAATAGCCTATTGCATACTGTGCCCAGAATGAGAATAACTTTATTACAATGGATTCCTATTTAACACAGATATACATATGTTTTTTGCCAAAGACAGTGGAAAAATAATATGCCCCCGAACCCCCTAGCAAGATCACTGTTGGGACCTCTGTATTTATAAAACCCTGTGTACGGCTATTGCACTGAATAGAAAATTATATTTTTGAAAAATACTATCAATTACAAGGCTGTACCAAACAGTGCACTATTACTTATATACTGAGGTTTTAATTACATTATTTAATTACATTTATCTAAAGTGGGCCGGTCTAAGGCATGAAACTCCAGGGCTGAAAATGAGTCCCACTCCGGCCCTGTATAAAAGTGTCTTCTTATCCACGTAACTTCTGCATGTTATAGGACCGAAAGGACAGCCTGGCCCTGCTGGAGCTGACGGCAGACCAGGACAACGTGGGGACCCTGGAACTACAGGTGTGTCATTTTGAAACACGGATGATTTTCCCTTTACAAATCCAATAAAAATGCATTCTCTAATACTTACTCCCCTTTTTTGATCACAGGACTTCCTGGTGACCCAGGCATTGCTCCAACGCCTATTGTTGTGAAGGGCGAGCGTGGTCCACCTGGACCACCTGGAAACCCAGGCAGCAGAGGCCCACAAGGACCCTCGGGATTACAGGGTCTTCCAGGTTAGTGGTTACATTGAGACTAGACAATACAGACAAGAAAGATTCTTTACCTGCAAAGGCTGGTCAAGACTATAGGACCTGGTCTGGTGGTCTTCTTCCTCCTCATGTCTGATGTCCCTTCATCCTCTAGGTTCACCTGGCAACCCTGGTGACCCAGGTCAAATGGGAACTCCAGGATTTAGCGGTTCACCTGGAAGGAAGGGAGATTTAGGACAAGCTGGACAAACAGGTAATGTTAGGGTCCAATATGTGGACTACCCGAGTTCAAATCCAGCTCAGGTCATTTTCTCTGCTGTCTTGTCCAATTAAAGCCAAAAGGTATGTCGTTCCAAACCCATCAGAATTTGCTTCATCTTTGAAACAGAAATGAAGATATTTTTAATGAATCCTGTGAGGTTTCTGTCCCTCCACTGAAAGTCCAGCTAACCAAAACTGAGAAGATCCAAAAAGCTCATTGAGGCATATAAAACAAATCTATATGAATCAAGCAGTTTAATCCTAGTCTTGTGAAGAGAAATGACCGCTTAATATGATGAACAGATTTAATTGAGCCTTTTATTCACATAGAGCATGCATCGTGCACTAGAACAAACCTCATTGGTCCTGTTCCTGGTCTGTTCATTATATTAAGCGATCATATCTCCTCAGAAGCTTTGGATTAAACTGCTCGATTCATAGAGATTAGTTTTACGATGCCTTTATGAGCTTTTATGTTGTATGTTGGATCTTGTATGGATGGATCTTGTATGTTTTGGTTACCTGGACTTTCAATGGAGGGACAGAAACCTTTCAGGTTTAATTAAAAATATCTTGATTTGTGTTTTAAAAGATTAACCAAAGTCTTATGGGTTTAGAATGACATGAGTGTGAATAAATGATGACAAGAATTTTCATTTAAGGATCGTCCTTGATATTGGCGGCTCACATGTTTTCACGAACAGCAGGAGGCTTTATAAACAGGGCCTGAATTTTCTCCAACTCCATGTATCAGCCTCACAACCACCATGATGTAATTGTGTACAGGTCTGCGTGGTTATCCCGGCCCTCCTGGTCCAGATGGGATTCCGGGCCCTCCAGGTACCTCAGGAACAGGTTCTGCAGCACATGGTTTTCTGATCACTCGCCACAGTCAGACCACAGACGTGCCATCATGTCCAGATGGCACAGGCCTTATCTATGACGGCTACTCTTTACTCTATGTGCAAGGCAACGAGAGGGCTCACGGACAGGACCTGGGTGAGTAGCCCTAAAAAGCACAGAGCACACGCATGTATCATGTTTTTTCTCACATCACGTAGATCATTACTGTTGTGTCGTTTTCTTTCTCCATTTAAAAAACATCAGGTACGGCTGGAAGTTGTCTACGTCGTTTCAGCACAATGCCTTTCATGTTCTGTAACATCAACAATGTTTGCAACTTCGCGTCCCGTAATGACTACTCCTATTGGCTGTCCACACCCCAGCCCATGCCCATGAGCATGGCAGTCATCACTGGAGAAGGCATCAAACCTTACATCAGTCGGTAAGAGACGGTCACTCTAACAGATGGTGATTAGGTGGTTCAGTGGGATCTGAATCCATTGCTTTGTGTGTGTGTGTGTGTACCACAAACTTAGTAATACTAGTAATTTTTGACCTTGTGGTGACATTTTTGGTCCCCATGAGGAAAACAGCTTATAAATCATACAGAGGTTTTTGAAAATGTAAAAATGCTGACAGTTTTCTGTAATGTGTAGTTTTAGGGGTTGGGTTGGTGTAAGGGGAGAGAATATACAGTTTGTACAGTATACAAATAATTATGTCTATGGAAAGTCCCCATAAATCATAGAAACCCAATGTGTACGTGTGGTCCAGGTAAACCCTACGTTATAAGGACAAAATGTCCCCACAAAGATGGCAATATCCAAAATCCGTATCCTTGTGGGGATGTTTTTTGGTCCCCATGAGGGAAACAGCTTTTGAAACATACTAAGTGATGTTTTTTGAAAATGTAAAAAATACTGAATGTTTTCTGTGATGGGTAGGCTAAGGGGTACGGTTAGTGTAAGGGGATAAAATAAACAGTTTGTATAGTATAAAAATCCTTATGTCTATGGAAAGTCCCCATAAAACATGAAAAAACGTGTATGTGTGTGTGTGTGTGTGTGTGTGTGTGTGTGTGTAGGTGTTCTGTGTGTGAAGCTCCAGCCATGGTGATTGCTATACACAGCCAGACCATTCAGGTGCCACTCTGCCCGCAGAACTGGGAAATGCTCTGGATCGGTTACTCCTTCATGATGGTATGTACAGGACCACAGGTCTTAGGCACTCTTGGGGGACTTGAAATGTGACAAGAGAACCATTAACTTTTAGACAAGACATTCTCAACCTTTTTGACTGCAACACCCCCTTGTCCATAACAATATTTGAAGTCCCCAATGTAGGGGACTTCCTTTTTCCTCTGGTACATCTACTATAATGACATTTGTTTTTTTTTAATTTACAGAAACTAAGTGTCCATAGATAATAGTAAAATAATTCAAATGAAATATTTTAAGTTCTGCTCTTCAGAACTAGTAATTTATTTTGTCGTAGTAGTGTATATTTTGTCTTCACTCTTTTCAACCAATGGATTTGCATGACTTTTCCAGCCATTATTTGATAAGGATTAAAGATGAGGATTTTTGAAAATATTTTTTATTTACAATTTCTACCCGATAATATATATATATATATATTTCTTTTATATAAAAATGTCTATGTTGTATTTAGATTTGATTCATTTACATGAATTTTACAGGTCTAGAGATCACACTTTTACAATAACTGTGTTTCCACTGTCGGGCCAAAAGTCTTCAAATAAGAAATATCTTCATTTGAGTTGTTTAGCTTATTTGAAAGTTTTTGTTATGTTGAAACTTTCTAAAGTTAAAATGATCCGGCTGCATCTGTGTTCTTTAATGTGCGTATTGTCAGTAAATCACCTGCAGAACTTATTACTCCCATCGGCGCTTTTATGGGATTGCGCTCTCACACTAATTTGCCCTGTTTAGTAAATCTGTAGTGTGTGTAATTAAGCATAGTACTTTTTACCTATAACACCACTTGATAAGTTTTTGTTGAAATGAAAAGAGCATGACTACAAAGACACCTCCTTGTTAACATCTCAGACATCCTTGTTTGCCGTTGACTGGCATTGATTTGTCTGTGTCACAGCACACCAGTGCAGGTGCCGAGGGTTCGGGTCAGGCCCTCGCCTCTCCCGGCTCCTGTCTGGAGGAGTTCCGCTCCACTCCGTTCATCGAGTGCCACGGTCGAGGCACCTGCAATTATTACAGCAACTCGTACAGCTTCTGGCTGGCCACTGTGGACGTGAATGAAATGTTCAGGTAAAATGTCATTGAAAAGTACAAAAACATTCTTGAAAAACTGGGCCCTTAAAATGAAAAGACGTCTATCTTTGAATGAAATGAAAGAAGTATTGTTCTTTCTTTGCCCTTACAGAAAGCCACAGTCAGAGACACTGAAAGCTGGAAACTTGCAGACCCGTGTGAGCCGCTGTATTGTGTGTATGAAGAGGACGTAACGTAGTGACTTTTGTGCAGTCTGTTGTTGTTGAGGATCAGCCGTCACCTACAACGACTGCGGCCATCATGCTGATCACCAGTGGTGTTTCATTGGTGCAGTATCTTCACGTTTAACTCTATGGTGCTACTGTGCGACACAGCAAAAGAAACTGAACAAAATAAATGAATTTATTAGTCTTTTTTCATTTTTCAAAGAAGTACCTCAAAAGAAAAATACAGATCCAGCAAGGTGCCATGGCAGTTGTGACACAATGTGCATTAGATATTTTTCTCTCTTATCCTATGAGATTTTCTAGAGATTCTTTTCATGTAATATTTTCCTATGAAAATTTTGATGTTGGTACACAAATGGTACATTTTTTGGGAGAAATGCTCTCGGTTTTTTTTTTTTTTTTTTTTTTTTTTTTCGAGTGGAATAGTCTCCATGTTACCAAATCGGCACTTTGAACATCAAAGAGACGAAATGCACTGAAGCGTTACATTAATGGGACTGCTTTTTTAAAGGCTATCATTTTTCTCCAATCACTTTTTCTTCTTTGTTGGTGGTACTAACACTGCTGTATCAGGACTTTTTAGCAATGTGTCATTTATCTCTTTTTGTAAGTAATAAAATGTGTATATTGTGTAAAACACCTTTTTAGTATAAAACAAAATGGATCTTTTTAATGAATTTCTGGGTTCTTTGTCAGATGCTCACTCACTCACTCACTCCTATTCACATATTAGCTCCACATTCATTTACACTGACATTTGTACAAAGAACTTTCTTTAAACGAAACAGTATTTTATAAATATATATATATATATATTAAAAAGAAAGTATATATCCAGAAACTTGATTTGGCTGTAGGAGGATATTTTTTCATTCAGTAGTTGTTAAGTAAATGCAATTGTTTTTACAGATCTCTCCCCCCTTCTGATTTAATGTAAACAGCAAGGAAAAATTCTGTGAAAACCCATCAAATACTAGTGTTATGAATTTGTAAACCTTTCTTTGGTTCTTATTTGTTATATTACGCCACAGTGTGGTGTATCACTGTTTTAGATTAGATGAACAACTGTCTCTCAGAAAATTTTAACATAAACCACATTGTGGCGTATTATATTATAGTTATTTGTAGTTCAAATTTGCTGACCGACAGTGATTCATCTAATCGAAAACAGTGAACATCTTACACATTGTTTCGCCCCATGATGACTTGCATTTCAAAATCATTTCCCTATTTTATGTTTAGTATCCAGAAGTTGTTATAAACTTAAATGACTGAAATAAAAGAAACAAACAAGGTGAACTTTTTTAGAGTGGGATTCTTGTTGTTTTTTTCTGGTTAGTTTGGACAGTATTAGTATGGTATACTAATTACAAAAGTGTTGTATTTTCTTTGCAGTCAGTCAGTTTCCTTATCTAAAGCATTAATTCTTGCTAGATGGGAACAAAAAATAGCTTTATGATGGTGGACCAGGGGCGTTTCCTCTGAGGAGGCAAGGAAGCCAGTGCCTCCCCAAACCAATTGGATGAGAAATATTACAAAAATAAAACAATGCAAATATTACAAAATGTGACATTAAAAGGTGTATAAATCTCTTGTCTTTCTTAAATAACAGTGTCCAACAGCGACACCAGTGGTTATAGTTACAGCAAGAGGCTACGTCTGTCTTGCCTCCCCTGAGCCCATTGAGTTTTAACAGACCCCCTAAAACGAGAATTGAGAATGAAGGGGGGGGGGGGGGGGGGGGGGGGGGGGGGGGGATATGAGAGGAGGCAATACAGTACATCCATCACACTGATTGGATATGATTAGTTTGTGCGATAAATAAAAATGTTGTTTAATGTCACGTCAAATCAAACTTGAAATGGCTTGAAAATATGATTGTATTTTTTTTTGTTAGCAATCAGCTTAGTGAAATTAAAGGTACATCTTCGTGTCTGTGACCAGTGTTTACCGAGCTTGATGACTGATGATCCAAAAATGAGTTGACTGTTAAAAACAACAGTTGAACATCACTTCACAAATGCTGCAACAGTCTTCCTAGCATTGTTCAGGAAGCAGACACACTCTGTCAGTTTAAATCTAGACTAAAAACACATCTCTTTAACCTGGCATACACATAGCACATTATCAATTTCTATAATTCAAATCATGTAATATGATTATTAGGGTGCATAAATTAGGTCAGCCCGAAACCGGGAACAATTCCTATAACACCCGATGTACTCGTTACATCATAAGAAAAATGGCATCTACGCTAATGTTAGTCTCTCTGTTTATCCTGTAGTCAGCCGGACCCGAGCCGTATCCAGATCAGATGAAGGACCTGCGCTTAGACACGACCACAACGCAGCCCTGAAGGGTCAGCAGAGACCGTGTCAACCAGACTCTCCCCTGTGAAGGCCTTATCGTCATGACAAAATAACGACAAAACGTTTTTCCTCTATATAGATGAAAAACTTAACAAAATGATTCCTGTTCACACGCATCAACTAAAAAAACTGTATTATACATGTGAAACAAGTAATTGGCAATGTTACTTTGTAAAGAAAGACAACGCACCTGCGCACATACACATTAAAGGGTTAGTTCACCCAAAAATGAAAATTCTGTCAGTAATTACTCGCCCTCATGTTGTTCCAACCCCGTAAGACTTTCGTTCATCTTCGGAACACAAATTAAGATATGTTTGATGAAATCTGAGAGCTGGATCACTCCTCCATAGGCTTCTTAAGGGATTGAAACTGACCGGCCCAAAAGTTATGAAAGACATTGTTAAAATAGTCCGAGTGACTACAGTGGCTCAATCTTAAGTTTATCAAGCGACGAGAATACTTTTTGTGCGCAAAAAAACAAACAAAAAGAACGACTTTATTCAACTACTCTGTAAGGCCGTGATATTTCACGTAGTGAAACTACGCAAAAGGTGTGTTCGACATCGGCTGCGGCTGGATGTAACTGATCGGCGAGAGTTGCCGCGTGCAGGCGGGGAGGAGCTGCAAACGGAGACGTGAAGTCGGACACTTTCTGGTTCCTGTAGTGGCCGCTCACGTGGTGTTTGTATACTTTAGCACAGCTGAAGTGAAATAAATGCAATATTTGCCAAATACACAGATGTTTCAGAGACATTTTCATTCAATACTTTATGTACTGCTTTTGTTTGAACAAGAATAAAGTTCAACATAACAAGCCTATAGCTACTATCAATGAAGTAGAATCAACGTTTTTTAATCAGTTTCATTTTGATAAACATAACACAATATGTATTGTGTTATGTTTATCAAAATGAAACTGATTAAAAAACGTTGAATGAAAAAACGCGACTACATGAAAAGAGTGTTTACTGTTATAAAAAAAAACTGATTTGTGAGCTTTAGTGGAACTAAAGGTGTGAGAATAAACCGAATAAACACGAAACGCACGTGATCGTTGTCATGCGGTGAATCTGGCCAATCGTGGAACAGCTGTGTCGTCATCAGAGCTCGTGCAGCCCGGAGCAGCCGCTCTTCAGAAGCTGCGCTGGCTGAGTTCTCCGGCTACTCTCGAATCGCTCTCGCGGTACTTTGATGGCATACGTCACAGTCACGTGGCGTCGGCGCTGTATCAAGTCGGACAAAATTTCTAACCGGCATGCACTGCTTCAAGTCTGCCGCCGATCGGTCTGCGCAGAGCTGCATGAAGTCGAACAAGCCTAAAGCTTCTAGGTTGCACGTCACACGTAGGCTCACTATTGGCCGACGCTGGTCATGTGTGTCATGCGTGACGTACAACCTAGAAGCTTTTTTCACTACGTGAAATTTCACGGCAGAGTAGTTGAATAAAGTCGTTCTTTTTGTTTGTTTTTTTGCGCACAAAAAGTATTCTCGTCGCTTGATAAACTTAAGGTTGAGCCACTGTAGTCACTCAGACTATTTTAACGATGTCTTTCATAACTTTTGGGCCGGCCAGTTTCGAACCCTTAAGAAGCCTATGGAGGAGTGATCCAGCTCTCAGATTTCATCAAAAATATCTTAATTTGTGTTCCGAAGATGAACGAAAGTCTTACGGGGTTGGAACGACATGAGGGCGAGTAATTACTGACACAATTTTCATTTTTGGGTGAACTAACCCTTTAAAACGTGCATGACTAAATACATAACACGCATGTGCATGCCGTCACCGTTTTCACAGATTTACGCGGAGATGATAACGGTATAGCTTTCAAAAACGCCGTTGTCGTGTAAATGAACAGCCAGAACGCATTTAAAAGTTTATTGTTTTCAGTTGAAAACGGTGTCGTGTAAGTGCAACTAAGGATTTTTACAATGGTAATTAATCAATTAAAAGCTTAAAGTAAGCTATACAATGACTTTCTTCTAGAGCTGCTGTGCAGCCAAAACAATCTTTGTTGCATTAATTTCCTATTATCACTGTAAAGCTGCTTTGAAACAATCTGTATTGTAAAAAGCGCTTTATAAATGAAGGTGACTTGACTTGACACATAAAATACTTTGTTTAGACTGTTACTGCCTTTAGTTATTATTTTGAACTAAGTATAAAAATGCTTCAGAACACTAACTTGATGAGATTTATACTTAGTTTAATGAATAGAACATTTACATAGTCAAAATAGGACTGTATTTGGTTTCTCTTTTTTTTGTGTAATGTTTATCCAGGAGAATGTGACAGCATTAAGTGTAACATGAATTTACATTTGATTTATAAAAAAGAAAACTGAGGACTTTGCCTCCTCATTTCAGAACACCACTGCACGCCACTGTGGTGGACCACTAGAGGGAGAACTGAGTCACATGGACTGTAGGGCTGCACCAATCCGCTGTCTTTTCCCTGACAGACATCTATATGCCAATAGGCTTTATGCACAGCTTCACTACTTCCTGAACTTCAGCCAGCTCCTTTGTTTCCTGTCTGCCATTATTGGACAAACTGAATAATCCAGGTGTGCCTGATTATTGTTACTGAGGCCAGGCACACCTGGATTAATCAGTTTGTCCAATAACGGCAGACAGGAAACAAAGGAGCTGGCTGAAATTCAGGAAGTAGTGCAGCTGTGCATAAAGCCAATTAGGTGGACATACAGTTCAACAAGATTTTGCAGATTTGCAGCCACTCTGCTTTTGTGTAGTAATGCATGATGATTCAAACACAACATGATTAAGTGGATGTATTCTGTCTCAGTGGCTCAATCTT